CTACCTTCTGATCTTGGGCACTTTCCTACCCTATCGTAGTGTTCGGTACACAAAGTCCGAGCATTACGCTAGCAAACATTTTGTTACTCATGTAGATCTGCTAATAACCCGATGCTTACGGGGCAGTTAATATATGATATGTGGATAGGTTACACAATTTTTGGCCTTTAAATTATGGGTTAACACACTCTGGCTGAATTAAGGAAGGAAAATATGTCTAAAATTTATTTTGCCGAAAAACAGCTGTCTGTTACGTAGTACTACCAACTTCTCTTACCACCGGGCTACATGGATTGAAAGCTCAGTTCTTTTTATTTATTACGCAGTTCCTACATGCATCACGTACATGAGAATACTTTTTGTTTTCTAGCGACCTCTTGCCCAAAAGAGATTCTGAACAAAGTCCTCGGCAAACGGAGTTTAAAGCTCGTCAAAACAAGTCGTACAATTCGATCTGAGGAATAGGATGCGTTAAGGTAGGCCCCCGTGTCGCACCGAAAATTCCTTGCTTGTTAGAGATAAAATTATCCATCAATATTCAAAACAAACATGTTCGTTTTATTATATTTTCACTCAGCCTATTGATTTTGTCCGGTCTGAAATACTCCACCGAAGAGTATATGGACCAAAATTAGACAATTTGCATGCAGAAGACCAGGCACATTTAAGATATCTCACTTCGAACGCGTTCGCCTTGAAGCTGGCCAATCAACAACCAAGATCAGACATTGTCGCTTTGGAAACAATTTAGAAACTGTCCCAGCTGAGAGCCACAATGAGTTTTTAATTGACACGCCAATGTGCCATTCATTCGATATTCAGGCAATCTCCACGAACAAGTGAATTATCCATCAATATTCAAAACAAATATGTTCGTTTTATTATATTTGCACTCAGCCTGTTGATTTTGTCCGGTCTGAAATACTCCACCGAAGAGTATATGGACCAAAATTAGACAATTTGCATGCAGAAGACCAGGCACATTTAAGATATCTCACTTCGAACGCGTTCGCCTTGAAGCTGGCCAATCAACAACCAAGATCAGACATTGTCGCTTTGGAAACAATTTAGAAACTGTCCCAGCTGAGAGCCACAATGAGTTTTTAATTGACACGCCAATGTGCCATTCATTCGATATTCAGGCAATCTCCATCGAACAAGTGTGCGGATCCTAACTCAAAACCAAGTGTTTTGATTGGTAAGAGGCTACCAGAAATGCTGATGTCAGCTTCACTGCGGAAACTCCATCGGCTGAACAAACTGTGTTTCAGAGCGACCACATTCTGTCACTGTGACGTGGGCAGACGGAATCTGATGTCATTGAATTTGTAATAACCGGAAGCTTGGTCTGACAACTTCAGAGGACGGCTGTTAGTTTGGGTTAATGCGCCTAAACAACCTCACCGTTCACAGTTGAGTGAACGTAAAGCTCGACTTGCACGCAAACGGTCAACCACCTGGCCAGCTTAAAGATGAATCTTGTTTAGTTGAAACTGATAAGCGTAAGCCTGATCATGTTCAGTTGCCCCTAACTGCCAGTCGTCGATGGTCCACTCAGAATGTGTGCAAACATCCCAGCAAGGCAGGTGTTTACCCTTGTCGGGGACTCATTACACTACGTGTATACTTGATGGTTTGTTCGCTGGAATCACTGACTTTGTGTATCAGGGAGAGAACTGAGTTCGAAAGTAGCCACTGACTCAAGGATTTTCAAGAAACGTGCGTCCGTTTTACACTTCACGCTGTCCTATTTTGTCTCAAATTTATGGCGCTGAACTTTTTTCTCTCTAATAGGTGATCGATTAGGTAGCCCTTACAAGGTTGCTATTCAATCAAACAATCACAATTAGCCAAAATCCACAGCACTGCTGAAAGCGTGCAAAGGATGATTTGCATCGTGATCGATTAGGTAGCCCTTACAAGGTTGCTATTCAATCAAACAATCACAATTAGCCAAAATCCACAGCACTGCTGAAAGCGTACAAAGGATGATTTGCATCTACCAGTCCTTGAAGTATTCATGATAAATGGATTTTTATTGTTGGGGATATCCGCACATGTGAACCACTATCACGACGGCTCACTGCTCATACTCTTGAATGGGAAGTGTATGACGTTTTTATATTTCGACGGAGTCCCATCGGGGATTTATCAGTGAACCTACATTAATCAGCATCTTCAACAACATGTTCCTGTCATCTTGCCCACTAGCCCCAACCGTCCTGCAAACTGACGATCAGCGGCTTTGTGCAACCATCAATTCTCAATAGTCTTGCCTAGTTGAGACATGAAAAAATATACTGGTGTATGTTCGGAAGAAAGAGGCACAATTTAAATGATGCACATGTGCCATCCAGTTCCACACTATTACACACACACACTACTCCCACACACTACATAGTTTGCACTGGCGTGGCCACGTGCTGCGCATGCCAGTCGACCGAATTCTTCGAAGGGCTCTTTTCGCCCAACCATGTGAAGAGTTGAAGAGAGCCAGAGGCGTTCAAACAATGACTTGGACCAGCAAACTCAGCTGCGATGGTCACTGCCGTCTTCATGGATGGCGAGCCCGTGACGGGCCACATCAGTGGCTAGAGACATTATCAGACTGCCCAGTCGCGCCCTCAATGGCACTCGTGCATCAAAGCTATTGCCTTCAATGCGCAGCTCCTTTTGCAACCCCCCCCCACTTGACAGCCTACTGAGAGTGCTGGATTTATGCACCAATTTTCCAGCTCGCGCGTGCAATGCGCAGCTACCTACTCCCCGCCCCGCGATTCATCGGTGAACGAAATTGCGGCAGCTAAAATCAGTGAACGACGAGTACTTGGTTGTTACAGCTGACAATGATGATGATGATAAAGATCCCGTCCCAGCCCAGTCCATGTTAATTATGAAGAGGCTAGACTTCCAAGAATTTTACAATATACGTAATGTTTCCGTTCGGAAAAAGGTTTGATCGGCGTATTTGATCTGCCGATAAGAATGAAAAATATTGCAAACTTTTCAAAGGCCGAATAGGTTTTAATTTTACCTAACGGCCTATTACACCTTTCGCCCCATTACATTTAGAGTCATAATCCTAATCAGCTTGTGCATTTGTCATCGTTCAGAAGAGACATGCTTGCTTCTGGAAGAGAAAAACGCTCATTTTTCAACCCGCAAATTTTCGACGAAAGTTACATTGGCCTCTGGTAGTTGTTTTGTAGGAATCCCGTCCTGCAACAAATCCAGATCACTCTGAGTTGATGTCTTTGCCAGCTTCGGCTATAAACGGAAGCCCCATATCTTCCAGACCTCACAGAGATATTGTCCTGAAGAATTGCGCTTACGTGGTGAATCCTGGAACAGGCGAGACCGGTCGTGCGCTGCCGCAGGCTTAATAGTTCACATATATTGCACGCAGCCACACTCGCCATCCGACACTTAACTCCGGGTTTGAAACCAGCTTTTTGAAAACTCGGAAATAAGTTGCAAGTTTGCAGGATGTGTGATCACTGCAGACCTCAAATACACCAATTAACAATAGGAACGCAAGTGTTGTTAAAAAATTCAGCGGAAGGCAAAACATGCACTATTCAAGTACATTAGATAGCCTGCACGAAAGCGTGCCAAACTTTTCTCCTTGAGGGACAAAAACGGGAAATCCATGGGTAAATAAATGGTGACATTTTAAACACACAGGGGACACTGCGCAAGTCTATATCCTCATCAAGCAACCCCGTCACATCAAGTTTTGACGAGACGTGATTACGCACAGCCCCTAGCCGAGTTAGTGTTTACGTGGGATTTTTGTCAACCCTTGCACATGACAACACTTTCAGCGCGTTGGGGCCAGAACAGCCATCCAGTGTTCCTGGATCGAAAGTTACTAGCAATGGCAAGGCATCTTGACCTGATGTAGTCAGTCGCTCAAAAAGGCATCTTCCCTCAATTAAAAGATATTCACGCCAATCTACATATTAAGTGACTGCTTATCGCCCGGCAGCTACCGGCTTACATAGCCCACGCGCATGTCGTGCAAGTTAATCACAAATCACTTTGATTCTGGCAATTTTAACTCACCTCAGTATCAAAAATTTATGTGGTCAGCACAGGACAGATTCTTCAAATGTCGTTCTTGATAAGAGGTTATATTCGTATCCGTGATCAGATTAAAGGAAAGCACATCGTCATGCAACAATCAATAAACCCGTGAATACTGATCGCCAATGCCTTGAGGATAGTAGCAAATTCTCCTATCCAACCTCACAGAACTTGGTTGCGGTATAGCTGGCGGAACGGGTCTTATAAACTCCAGAAACAGATAGCTGTATCCAAAAAGTCTTTTTAGCTGCGTACAATACCCACAGGCTAATTAGATCGTGACTAGGCTTTTGTGTGGAGCTATCCCACTATTTAACAGGATGTGCCACAAAAGCCTGTTGAATAGGCTGAACTGTTGCTTCACACTTACATGTCGGTTTATTATTGAGCCGGGACTGGGTTGGTTAATGCGTTCCGCTAGTGCCAAGAAAAACGTATCTCAATCAATATTGGTAGACGCGTGCATCAGGGTACGTTACGGACCGTAAAGATCATTTCTTGTGAAAAGCGTCCACTTCGCTCGGTTACCATTAAACCTCTCGAGGAATTTGACCACTGATATCGGATAAAATAAAGAATTCCGCAAACATGGAATCTGGAAGGTTCTATTTGTTGGAGCCAAAGACACCGTTTCGGAAGCGTCTGGTGAACAATCACTAGCTTGAGCTGATCAGTGTTTTGCACTTACCATAAAAGCTTCATCAGGCCGAATAAGCAAGTCATCAAATTGGTCAGGTTTTAAGACATACGATGAACCAATCAGCAAGAAGCCCCCATATCAGCTCACTAGGTCAGAGTTGGGTGTCACGTAAAGGAGTATATCGGACGGTGCATTTGCCAATATTTTGAGCAACTGAACTGGATGTTTTCAGATTAGTTACCATCTGTTTTGGCTTCTTTTGCTTCTACTTCAGGGTGCTACAATTGAAGCTCTACCGAGGGTGCCACAGGTAGATCTGGTTAGCCTCTGTATTTTCGTGTGTGTTGCGACAGTTTATTTGGGGGTAAGGAGTGGGTAAGTTTAAGTGGAATTTAGATGCTGGCTTTGCCTAATTCTCATAACCGCACACGCACACGTCAGCTTGACTGATCCAAAAGTGTTGTTTACCTGCCTGCCGGTGCCATGACTACTTTTCGAAGCTAAGCGGTCCTGGACGCTGGGTTTTTGATAACGCTCGACCTTCAGCCGCGCTTCTCGTTTCCATACTTTCCGATTCTGGATTAGCGTTTTCTGGCTATTTGTCTTCTGTAGACCTTAGTCCCGTCGTCAAACTAAATTTACTAAACACTGTTCCTGGTTTTGTTTCCCGGTAGGGGATCCTTTCATCTAAGCACTGAAGGGGGCAAAAGTGTTTCCCCTCTAGGGAGTTACTCTTGTCCTCCAGTGTTTAGAATCCTCCGAACGACCTTAGAGGTCTCTGGCTTATGTGGAATAACAGCTGTTCCAATCCACCCCTGTGTTGAGTTTTGCTACTGGTACCAGCACACTTCTCAAATGATACTTAATCAAGCTAGCCGCACTCCCACTACACCTAAGTTTGTTGTCTAGTTCAAGTTGAGCCGTTGTCCTATCAGCTTCTTCTGTGTAAAGGTCTTCACACGCCTAAAAATTTAAAAGGCAATCTTGGTGAATACCGACTTTGTTTGGGCAGGCAAGTTGGTCAAACTTCCCTAGCGTTCGTTGGCTTTCCGTCAACTGTGAACTTAATTTGCCTTTGAACTTATGTGCCATGCAGTCTAAACGGTCAGTGTACACGCAGCTCATTCCATCTCCATACTGAATCAGTGTGTGGAATCAGTTCATTTAGATAGTTGTGAAATTCAGCGATCATGCCTTGTTGCAACGCGACGAAGATGTCATAAAAATAACACCGGAATATTCTTCATGTGTAAAGAACCTTCGGAGTCAACATATTGCATAAGTATATTTGCCAACACTGGAAAGATTAAAGACCCGATTGCTAGATCCTGCTCTTGAGTGCGAACCACGAAGTCAGAACTGAAGTTGTTGAGATTCAAGCATGCCTTTGTGTATCCCGCTATCTTATCTACCGTAACCTATGTTTGTTCTGAAGGTGTGATGTGCGCTAGGGGCAGCTTTTTATTTGAATCCAATGAATTGACGTCAAAAATTACTGGTATGTTATCTAGTTCTGCGGCGACCCCCGCTAATTTACTGGCCATCATATGAATTCTTCTCGTAAGCACTGGATTCCCCGGTGAGGGTTTCAGGACTACACTCAAAGAATATGGACAGTTAATAGGGAAAGTAGCCTACTCCGTCCACTATCGGATGGACGATCTTGTTTACGGTGGCTTAACCAGAAAAGCTAGGGGGTTAATTTATGCTTCAAGCATATTTTCCCCATTTGTCCCTTACCTTGTTTATCGTGTGTAGTCACTTGACATTTTGCGATCACATGGTCCATAGTTCTTTTTGGTCAACTGAAAGACGTTTGGAAATGATTGTGAAGTTATCGCTGAATAACTCGACGAAAAAAATGTTAGTTTTCAATTTGTAAGTTTTGCCCTTTGACACAAGTGAGTGGCAGGAGCCCAAGCAGTTTCTTGAGCAATAGGCCTTGATCAAACTACACAGAAGGCAGTGAGGTTTATTTTGAAACGAGAATGATTCGCTGGTAAACAGCACATAGTCCGAAAACCGGCCTTGCAAACGGACAGTCTGTGATAGAGACATACCTGCAGTATGCGTTGTTTGCTGTCCGTGCGGTACACCTCCAACCCAAGAGGAACACCGAAAGTAGCCTCAGCAACGCACACCCCGTCTACTCTTGGGTGATTGTCAACAGCCACAGTGATGCTCGGGATGTTAGTCCACTGGGCAAGAACATCGAGAAACTGCCCTTAACAGACTCAGAGCAATGGTCCGTTTGCAAACAGAATAAGGAGTATGCAATGGACTTCACTTTCCTGAGATTCCTTCACAGGTTATGTTAAAAAAAGCCGCCCAAGGGACACCATTAAGTGTATCCAGTCAAGTACGCAAGCTTCCACTACCATGTTAGTACACTCGTACCAAAGCATATCTAGACATAGCGGCCGCTGACTAGAAGCACACCCGAATTAGTTTTGCCGCAACTATATGGTTTTCAAAGTCGTCACTTTAAAAAGGATTCAGTCTAACCCATTTGCAGCTTTCGGTGATATTTGCTCAAATCATTTTGTTTGAGCAAATTTTCCAAGTCACGGACCACCATCTATTCGCATTTCAGCGGATCAGGAGGGATAAAACACGAAATTTCCCTTCAGTCTAGTTTGGCCTTCTTGGGGGTGCTTTAAGAAAGAAATGACGTCTGCAGAACATCCAATGCAAGTCTACTCTGCAAAATCGGTCACTGATGTTTGTTTGCTTCATACTATTCAGATTTACCAAACGAGATAATTTTGTTGAGCAAACTTTGTCACGATAAAATTTCCGATAGAGCTCAGCTTCCAGTACCTGGAACGCTGTTAGGAAACTTCGCGAATTTTGCAGTGGCAATGCGGAGGACACCTCTGTAGATGAACAACCCAACGTCAGGAGATGGCTGCAGGTTGATTGCCAACACAGTGATATCATTCATATCAGGAATATTACGATCCATCGCGAGAAGTGCGTTACAAAGCGCGAATATAATAGTGGGAAATAAGGGCATCCATTTCCGGTGGCCATAATAAGGAAGGCCGTTTTCACCCACAGTCTATTCATCGTAACTGCTGGGTGTGAAGCTGACGGACGTCATACTCATGACTGTAAGCGATGCCGCTTGTTTCTGCTACCTGCAGTAAACAACAGGCCGGTATCTGTGCGGGCCGGTAAATAATAAGCCCTCATCTATGCGTGACAGCCTAATCTGACGGCCTGTTGTGCTCATAACTGTATGCGAATGACGAACGCTATATTCATAAATCTACGTGATATTCCCAGGTCTAGATCTCAGGTTTAGATCAAATAAGAAATATGGAGCAAGGTTGAGCTTTGTGATTGTATTATCCTGGTCAAATGAAATTCAAACCAGCCAGAAAATCGAAGGTCGGTCCATGTTAGTTACAAACATGAAGGCATATTTTAGTACAATGCTAGGCAGATTACGGAGACTAGTCACATGGGTTCTAATTTGTACATGTATCATATGTCCTACGTGGAGCGAAGGAAGTTTAATAAAATCAGCATTAGTGGGCTCTCACATGATTCTATGAAGCCACCGGGTTACTTCAGGGCATCATCAAGGGTCTGAAAGTTATGCTGCACTTTTCAATTGTGCGGGACAGCATGGATTGAGGAACATGTACAAGCAACCTACATGAACTTCAGAATCGAAGTTTTCCTGTGGTGTTTTTTTGAAGGCGTAACCTAATAGCCTATAAATGCATTGTACTGGTGACTTAAATGGGCGTCCCTATTGTCAGGAAAACGCACTAGATCAAAGTACAAATGCATCGTTTTTGTTTGAACACATAACAATCTTGTAAGACATACGGGATTAAAAAGAGTTTTGTGAGCAGCATTTCCACGATATCTAAAATCAGTGATAACATAATTCTCTAAAGCAATCAAAAACAAGTCTTCTCAATATAGCCTAAGGATTTCGGAATAATCTTCAGGTTATTACAGTGGAGAATACGACGTAATGTGTCTGCCTCAAACCTTGCTTTCCGTTTGACTTTCAAGTTATGAAACTTCAAAGGACCAAAGCAGCTGCCGTTTTCTACCTTCCTGCATTTATTTAGAGATAAAGCGATACCTAATATAAATATTTGTTAACTGTTTATTACCAGTGATTACAAGCATCATAAAAAGTGAAAATACTGAAACGCGGATCGTTACGTTCAAAATGGGAAATAATGTTTGAGGTGAATAATGCAAACTTTTTCCTCCGGGGAACGTCAGGAAATTGTTCCAGCTTAAGTGTTTAGGTAAAATCACGAGAGGTGACAACAAAGAAAATTACTCCTCAAGTAATAATCAGCAAAACGTTTGCCAACTCTCTTCTAAATCCGCACTGAAAATACATTTTCCAGCTTTATGCGACGACCAATAATATTCCATTGTATAAATAACGCACTACCCACGGACTGCGACGGTTTTCTCAGAAAAAATTCACCAGTTTCAGGGTGGAATTTAGGGAATCTCATTCAGCACTGTTTAGATTTTCACTAGGTAGTAAAACAGTACAATAAATTGTGATCGATAAGGATAACTTTACGGATCCGAAATATCAAATCACAATCTTCATGCCACAGCGACAGAAATAATGGCATTAGCGTCAACAATTGGTAACAAAACTCAGGAGATGCTATGTTCAGCAAATTAATGCAAGTCGACTTTATGGCGCTGCAATTATTCCCGAACAATTTGTTCATTTGCGCTTACCACGGCTTACCCTGAACCATCGACGGCCCGTGTCTTCAAACCACCACATACTTTGGTTCATGACTAATGGAAAAGCTCTAACTAACGGAATGCTAGTAATGGTTGCCCCATTAAATCCGTCATAGGTGATAAAGCCTGATTGCGCAAGTACAAAGACATGAGTCTGGTAAAATATAAAACTACGGAATCGATTACATAGGAACATGGAGCGGACTTTTGTTGGCTCTCATGCTTGCGGAGCACGCTGTGTATTCAGTGCACCGTCTAATGCTGCCTACCAAACAGTTGTTTGTCTTGACAAATTCAAGAGTAACCTCTGTTGAGTATGGGTCTTTGACGCAGAGAAGGGTTACATATTTCGGTCTATTTAGGCAAGACAGCCCGTTGCAAACAATGGGGAACTATCTGGAAGGAGGTTGTAATTTTTTCCAAATATCACAAAATTCTATACTCACGTTTTCTTGATACACGCAAATTTGAATGTGGACTGGTTCAACGGTAAAACATCCATAGCTATAATGCTCCGTCCGTTATGCTTTGGGATTTTACCAGTATTACCCAATGGTAGATGGTATAGCATGCGC